GGGGGGTGAGGGCACTGGGGAAGGGGTGGAGGGGTGGAGGAGGTGCGGAATCAGAGCGCTGTGGCGTATATGAGAGTGGCGGCCGATACGTGTATCATGTGGCGGTGCATCAGGCCGAGAACGAGGAGGGGCAAAAGTGAGATACAGATGCTCACATAATGACTACACACGACAACACTCCTTGAGTAAAAAAACATCTAACATATCGACGACCGCGGATGATTTATACATGTGGCGCTTGACTTGATTCCTATACAATTGGAAACACTATCAACTGGGTATCAGCGGTCGACTTTTCAAAGGAAAGGGTGGAAATCTTTGGTGAAAAGGCACAAGAAAAAAAAGAAAAAAAAAGAAGAAAAAAGAGACTGTCTGCCCCACCTCGAATTTTCTGTTGTTCTGCCTCACCTCACTTTGGTCCAGACCCACATGCGAGACCAGGATCAGGATCAGGATTCACGACTCGAGAATTGGGAGACATTCGGCCACGAATTCGGCCTGGGAGAGCTGGAAAATCTAAAGAGGAGCATCGTAGAGATGGCCCTTAGCCGAATAGACGGGCCTGACGACCTGTATGTGGGGGGAATATGGGCGCTTCGGCGATCAGACTCGCTCGCAGAGCGGCGCATAACGCACGTCCTGTCCATGATTGGCTTCAACCCGGCCGAGCTCAAGAACTTCAAGGAGCAGCCGTGGTCTCAGTACGGCAAGGGAATCGAGCATCTCGCCGTTGACATCGACGACGTCGACGATGCCAATCTCCTCATCGAGCTGCCGCGTGCCGTGAGATTCATCGACAGCGGTCTACGACAGTCTACTTCTACCTCGACCTCCGCAAGCAAGAAGACTGTGCAGGAGGGTATCGAGGCGTCGGGCCTGAAGGGCTCTCCGTCGTCGTCGTCGTCGCCCCCGGCCACTGGCGACGGTGGCGGCGGCGCCGTCTTCGTCCACTGCGCCGCGGGCAAGTCACGCTCCGTCTCTGCCATTATAGCCTACCTACTGTACCGGTACCCCAACCGCTTCGACCCCAACATTGTCGGCAGCATGGGCTTGGAACATGGCGCAGACGGCGACGGCAAGAACGTGGGCGCAGCTGACGCGGTCAGCAAACCTAGACGTGAGACGGCACGGGAGGCCGTGCGCAACGCCCTGGCCTACGTCCGGCGCACGAGACCCATGGCCGAGCCCAACGACGGCTTCATGAGCCAGCTCGAGCTTTGGTGGCAGATGGGATGCCCCGTAGACGGCGAGATGGAGGAGCAGTCCGCATACCAACGCTGGGCGTACCAGAGGGAGGTGGAAGAGTCCCTGGCCGCGGGCCAGGCTCCCACGCGTCTACGCTTCGAGGACGAGGAAGAGACTCAAGCCTCCTCGGATGCGACGGGACCCGCAACGTCCTCGCTGAGCCTGCGGTGCAAGAGGTGCCGTCGCGCCCTGGCTACGGGAGGGTTCGTCGTGCCTCACAAGTCACCCGGTACCCACGTCGGCGCCGGCCAGTGTCAGCACCTCTTCATCGAGCCGCTGGGGTGGATGCGGCCCGAGCTAGAGAAGGGTCAGCTGAACGGCCGCCTCCTGTGCCCCAACGAGAAGTGCGCGGCCGCCGTGGGCAGGTACGACTGGAAGGGGTTCAAGTGCTCGTGCGCGGCGTGGGTCACGCCCGCCTTCTCGCTGCAGAGGGCGCGTGTCGACGATGTCGTCGCCCGACCTTTCCCCGATGGTGCTGACGCCGCACTCAAGCAGCAGCAGTCCTTGGGAATCCGCATGCCTCCAGGGTCTAGGAGTGGCAATCTATAGTCATCTCTACCCCTCCTGTCATATAGTACGTCGTTATCCGTAAGAGGAAGATCAATAAACTATTGATATGGATTACAGAGAAAAGAAAGAAAAGGGGTGGGGAGAAAAGGGGGGGGTGGGGAGAAGAAGAGGAGACTCATGAGCAACGTTCTTCTTGGTATATACGGATAATCCGCAGGCGGTAACGGCACATGCCCTCTTCGCCTTTGCTACCAGTAAACGATACGGAGAAGAGCATCACAGAGTAGTATAGTTGTCAGACGTACAGGTACGACATGACGATAATTCCACTCTCTGCATGCGTAGGACGGACCGGCCTCTCGTACTCACTCCAGTCTTTTCCCTTGACTTGGCACGAAGCCTTTGGTGGAAACCTCCGGGAAGAGACAGGCAAGTGTTTAATGCTCAATTGCCAATTGTCTCGCTAATGCGAGAAGAGAGGGGGTCCTGCAAGCTCCACGCACGCGCATCAATCACAGGGATATATGATATGGTGAACCATGAGACCTGTCAGCTTATGGATTGATTTTTCTCTTCTTTTCTATTTCATCCTGCCTTCTTTCTTATTTTTTAAGAAGGAAGAAATCCTAGTTCTATTTTCAAATCACCTGATTCCTCTTACTACTACTAGATGAGAATGGAGAAAACGTGGAGGAGAATCAGCAATTGAAGGAGGTACACGATGCCCAGGTACCTTCTATGTAGACACAAAGTTTGACTGACACGCCCCTCCCCTGGTTCAGAGAAATCACACATGTAGGTATGCGTCTTGGCGGTGAATGATTCGTTTCCTTTCTTCCCCTGTCACGGACGCCGCGTTGTAATAGTGATAGCGTGAAGAGAAGTAGAAACGAAGAGAAAACGAAAGATGCATTCCTTCCAAAGTTCTCATGTACTGTCAAACCTCTAATCATTAGGAAACCTCTCTTTTCTATTCCACCTCTCCTACGTTCGGCATACTGCATAACCTAAACTAACACCAGATACCTCCACATGTGACCATGGCTGATGGAGGATGCGGAGTCTCGTCAAGACTCATCCGGAAGTTTGATGTCGGCCTCTTTCGGCGACATCTTGCCGCTGGGTTGGCGGAAATCAGGCCCCTCTACAGTCAACCCTACAGATATAACAGCTCGAGGATGACAAAGGCTGTCAGGACAGATCGTGGACAAACAACGAATCGAAGGTAGGAGGCGAGCAAGGTACATGATGAGGTCTACTGGGCAATAGCGAGGTAATGAAGAGGTGGTGATGACGATGGTAATAGTAAGAAATATATATCAGTCATTGGCCTCTTCCTCAATAGATTTGAGGAAGACGACTACTTACACAATATAGAATCACCTACTTCATCTGCCCTACTTCTGGTAGAATCCCCCTGATAGCTCCTGATAGTGTGCTCAGAGGCCGCATTGCGTACATGTGTTTGGACTAGTGTCTGGAACCTGAATGTTTTACGCTGGTCTACCTCCTTCTCTGTTCTTCTCTGCTCGCACATGTATCCTTTCGTGACCTAGTCTCCCGCCATCTTCTTCTAGGCAATGCTAACGTGGCGTATTATCCACCACGACTTCCAGCCAAGGTCCTCGGGCGCTGTCTTCAGCCTCCGCAGCCCCGGCCCACCACGCTCGATATGACTGCTCTGGAACCATCCATGAACGGATTCAGCGCTCGCTCCATGGTCCATGGCCGACGAACACGTCAGTTGTCGAAGAGGGGTGCACCATGTCAAAGAAGAAGAGAGAAACGCATGAACAGAGCGGGGACTAGAGAGGCGATTTCTCGCCGCCAAACCACGAAGTAATGAGACATGGTTCATCGCGCGGTGGTCGGTGAAGTTTTCACTCTACTTGGCAGGTGGAGTCGAGTCTCAGACGAAAAAAACCAAAAGGTGGGCGGTTATCAGAGGAGGTAATAGGGTATGCATATACTAGTTGTGTATACGTATACATATGGTGTCCTGTATGAGGACTCTCTATAGTGTAGGTACTTGTAGGATCGTATACCTATAGCTGCTTACATAGAATTAGAGGGAAGAGAGTTATATGACTACTTATTCCATGTCCCTGTCTAGCCTCGTGACTTATCTAAATAATATATGTATATGCTCTTTTTCAGGATGGGCAGCTCGCCAAAGACAGCATCAGCATCGCGGCGTAGTCTTTCCGTACTCGACTCGTCTGTTTCCCTTCTTCTGTTCTATACGGAACCTTCGTTCTAGGGCAACCTCATGACGACGGTAGAGGGAATAATAAGGCTGCATACGGCAAAACCTTCCCGTTTTAGATGTCATACCCATCTCATCTCCCGTCACCACGCCTGCGCCTCACCACGAGGCTACCACCCCCAACCCCTTTTGCCCATATGATATGACAAGGGATTCCCGTCTTATTCAATAATGCTCCGCAGACGGAGATGTGGAGTGAGGAGAACGTATCACAGTATTTTCGTCTTTCGTCCATTGGAGAATAATTACGGTCAAGGAGAAGCAAGGTCAATGAGCAAGGCTGGCATGGCTGGGCATGGCATGGTCAGACAACGTTGTAAGCACTAAGACTGACAGAAGGGGGGTGTCAGATGTTACCACTTCCCGATAGAGGAGAGGTATTATTATCGACAAGGAGCGAGTGGAAAGCTACCGACTGTTTATATGTTTAGGCACTTGGAGTAAAGAGAGGGGGAAAGAAAAGAGGGAAAGGCGGCACATCCGTTCATCATGCTGCTGCGTTTCCGCTTCCGATACACCACGACATCCTACATGGTTGGGCCACGATGCATGTACGGCAACGGGGAAGAGGGTGAGAACAGGCAGACAGGCAGCTGAAGTCTTACCGGCTTTCCCTCAAAGACTAGCATCGAAAGTGGATGGGAGTAGAGCGGGTGGATCACGAGACTATAGATGTGATTCGACAAAGCGCGAGAATGGGAGCGTGAGGGTTCCAGCTGCAGTCAGCCTACATAGTGATATAGTGATATGTATATATATTCTGCGGTGTCATATCCGTTCGGCACACCCTTCCGCTCACTGAAAAAAATCCTGTAACAGCTGCGGGTGGGGAGAGTGTGGACAGGAAGCACACGCACAGGCATGTACGGGACTTGCGACGGCTTTCTGCCTTTGCCTTGTAGGTATTGTTCTGATCGGTACCGAAGAGGTCGTCTGTCTGTGCGTTTAGGTGTGTGGGACAAGATGTGATAAGCCCTCCCCCCTCTCCTGTTCAAATCTCCGACCATCATCAACGACAGCCCGCACGCCGTGAGCCGACCTTGCCGACTAACATCTTGATTATCATCTAGAGGTCGGAGGGTGTCATATCGTAGGGATAGGGGTTACACGACAGGGACAGCCACAGGGTACCACGGAGTACTAGGAGTGTCATCGGTGGTAGCGCGGCACGTACGGCGAAGTTCGGCTCCCACCTTGGACATGGCCCCTTCTCCTCTCCCTACGGACGGCCTTTTCCGTACAAGGCTGGCTGCTTCAGCTTCGGAGGGAATCGCAGACTAGCAATTCCGGGTATGCTGTGCGGAGGAGTGAGTCCCGTGGCAACCATCCCATCCCTTGTACATCATTTCGTCGGTAGGTCCGTCGGTACGGATGGGAAGTAGTTTGGCTGAGAGACACGCTCACGATCCCTCTTGGCCGCCTCAGCCTGACGTTTCCTCTGCAGTCGCTGTTGGTAAAAGGGGCTGCATACGTTCACGCGGGAGTGGTTAGCAGAGCGGCTGGCACGCGAGGTAGCACATGTCGGTCAGACCAACCTCTTGAGCTCGAACACCCGAGGCTCTTCTTTCTCGGGCTCGGGGGATTCCTTCTCCTTGGGAGATTTCTTGTCAGGTTTGGTACTCTCATCGCCCTTCTTCCCGCTGTCCTTCTTCCCGTCGTCTTCCTTCTTGTCGGCGTCGTCCTTTCTGTCCTCTTCGGACTTCTCTTTCTTCTTGCGCTGCTTCTCCTCGTATTCTCTCTTCAGCTTCTCCGTCTCCTCGGCCAGTTCTCGATCCCGTCTGGCTTTTTCTGCCTCCTCATCTACTTTGGGGGTACAGAAATACCGGTCCTTTAGGTGAATCGGGCAGACGTAGAAGAAGTCCTGGCGGTTGGCTTCACTCAGCACACAAGCACAACAGACATGACATGTGAGGAGACGACAGACGAAGAGTGTCAAGGGGGAGGAGGGGGTTGGACGTTATATTTACCTTCTTGTCAGGGGTGATGAGCACGGAGCTGCTGGGTTTGTAGCAGACATCACACGCCTTGGCCGATGACTCTGCTACCTTGCGGTGAGTGTAGACGTTGGGAAACGGCGCCCCCGACATGGTCGATGAGATAAAATCCGTCTCGGAGCGAGTGATCGGCAGCAGCTTCCGCAGTTTGAATTTTTTTTTTCTTTTTTTCCAAACGGTCGTCAGGGCCGTGGTGTGAGTCGAAGGCGTGTATACATGGAGGGCGGACGAGCTTCGATGGCGGGGCTCCCCTCAATGTTTAGCTGTCTACGATACAAAGTAGTTTGGGTGAGAGAGTTGAGAGAGACGCCGCTGTGCTGTGTAGCCGGCAGTGACGACGTCGGATCGAATCCTGACTAAGCAGTTCCATTGCCGCGTTGGGGAACGGAACAGAGAGACGACGCGCGCGAACGAGCTGCGAGCCTCCGTCATTTCGACTCGTGCATGTAGATTTGAACCAAGTTACATACACCCAACTGGCCATCAAAGTCTCATGAGGAAGGAAAAAGAGTCCGGCCAGTCAAGATGAGCATCTCCCTTGACGCGCAGAAGCTGAAGCTGGTCTTTGGCTCGCGCCCTGACATAATTGAGGGCATCGGCCGTGCTGCTGGTAAGTTGATTGCTGCACTCTGCCCCCCCCCCCCCCCCCCCCCCCAGTATATCTCTCTCCCTCCTTGTTCAATTCTCCAGATCTGACTTTGAATAAACAGATTCCCCTGGCAGAGTCGCTCTTTTCAACGAGATCGCCACACATGTCTACGATCACTTACAAGCAAGCGACGAGCCGGCCCAGAAACGACGAAAGGTGGACAATGGTGCCGGGTCGGGTGAAGCTGCTGCTGCCGCCAAAGCCACGGCAGCGGGCAATGCGGCAGACGAGCCGGTGCTCCTCGAAGTGAAGGAAATCTCCGTGTCGGTGCCTCAGCGCAAGAAGTTTGAGCTGTGCTTTACGGAGAATTACATATATGCCCGCGCACCGGGTACCACGGCGCCCGTGTCAAACATTGTGCATGCCTGGACAGACATCGGTGCGGTTTGAAGAAGATATCCCGCCCGCTCGATCCATGATACACACGCAGGCTAACACTATACGCCATACAAAGAGTACATATTCTACCTGCCAGTCCCGGAAAAGACACAGGTGCAGCACAACTACATCCTGTTCCCACGCGGCTCGTCACTGCCGTCCAAGAATAGCGAGGCCTCGTCACCGGAACCGCTCGTCTTCACAATCCCGGCCACGGCGCCCAAGCAGGGCACGGTCGGGGGCAGCGAGGCGGGCAGCGCCTCGGCCGTGTCGGACACGTACAAGGCGCTGTTCCACTGGGCCATCGGGACGCGCCTGCAGGCCGTAGGCAGCCCCGTCACCATCACGTCGGCCAACCCGGGCAAGTTCCACAGCGTCATCAGGCAGGCACATCGGCCCAACGAGAAGGCCGTGCACGTGGGCGGGTACAGGGGCAGCAAGGACGGCTTCCTCTTCTTCCTGGAGAACGGCATCCTGTGGGGCTACAAGAAGCCACTCATCTTCATCCCGCTCAGCCGCATCTCCGCCATCAGCTACACGAGCATCCTCCAGGTCACCTTCAACATCGTGGTCGAGGTGCTGACCGGCAGCGACGGCGGCAGCGACGATACCGAGGAGTTCGAGTTCGGCATGATTGACCAGCAGGACTACGGCGGCATAGACTGCTACATAAAGGACAACCGCCTCCAGGACCGCAGCATGGCGGAGCAGAGGAAGGCCAAGCTTCAGCTGGCCGAGAACAAGGCCAAGAAGGGGGAGGCCGCCGACGGGGACGGAGCCCCCGAAGACGATACGACGGAACTCGAACGTGCCCAGCAGGAGGTGGACCAGCAGATGCAGGGTGCCGACGAGGATGATGAGGAGGAGGATGAAGAGGACTACGATCCTGGAAGTGATGGTGAGAGCGAGGGATCGGGTGATTCTTCGGGTGATGACGACGACGACGACGATGATGATGACGACGACGATGCAGAGGGTGAAGATGGTGAAGACGAAGAGGAGGAGGAGGAGGAGGAAGGAAGAGAACAAGTCAAGAAGGAAGAGGAAGACGCCGCCCCTGTTAAGTCGGGAGGCGTCCCCGTGAGACAGGGATGGGCTTCCTTGAGCAACTCGTGATGACGTGGCCAGAAGAACAGTCGGTACTGGATGTGTTTGGGCTCGCAAAGGCTGGATATGCGAGATGAAAGTACATATTGCTGGGACCGAAAAGGGGCACATGAGAGGCGGACGAAGATGAAAGTCATCCAACTAGCCGGTGCACACGAATGTAAGGTACAGAAAATAAGGGCTAGCTAGAATAGGTGGCCCTATAGCCTTGGTTTCCCTCTCTTTCATATAAAAATCTTTCGAAATCTTTCTGATAAACCCGCCTTTTTTTACCCACCTTTTTTCTATCTCTTGGGGAATAGATATACTGTTCGAATAGTATAGAAAACACGAATGGCCAAGTCCCTTTTCAGTTCCTACAGCAGGAACCTATAGCAGTATGCAAGGCTTCGCCTCTACAATAACGGCACAAGACTAAGGGTATGGGGTTGCCAGACCTCGCTCTGCTCTCACATACATGACCAAGACGGCAGGATCAGCATGCCAGATGACGTCTGCCACGACATCTCTGTTTTCAACCGTAGCATGATATTGTCTACACATCAAGTATAGTTCAGTACAGGAATTTAATTCACTCAGTGATACTAGTACACAGAGCCCAGCTGCTCCATCAGGCATACGAGGTTTCCATCTACATGTTGAACAGAAAGAAATTTGATCATAGGAAACATAACGTAAACGAATTGTCCCCTCTCTAAAGTTGACGTTGAGCTCTTCCGGGATTCGGCAATTACGGATGTAAAAACCGGGGAGGGTTTACTCTGGGGGGTAGGTGATCGGAAGTTGTTGGTTGGATGCACAACTTCATCATGATGTCAAGCATTTTCCTCTCGGCGATGTCATAGTCTTTGATCGATCGATGAAAAAAAACAAGAAAACAAGACTTTCCAACCAGTCTTTCCCACTTCTTCTTTCCTCTTATATATACATATATATATAATACATTTTTTCAATTAGTATGATTGAAAAGATGGATTAGAACAAATAAAATTGTGCGCAACAAAATTGTATACATACTCCTCTTTCGCTAGACGAAAACACAATGACCGCCGCCGCAACTCGAGGTGCAGTCCTAGGACGCGCACTTACACACCCATCCGGCATTGTCCGGTCGGCAGCAAGCCAGATCCGCCCATTCTCCCAGTCATTCCGCTCCCGGTCGCAGGGCCCCAAGATCCTCCTCGAGGATGCGGATCAGGGCTTCGGGTTCGTCCGTCATAATGCTCGTCCGCCCAAGCCTCGCAAGGTGGGTGTGACTGAGATACGGGGACCGTATTACTCTGCCATGGGGAAGCGGTACCTAGCGGATGTTTTGGAGACGTATGTGGATTTCTGCTCTTTCTTTCTTTCTTTCTTTTTTCCCCCTCCCTCTCTTTCTCCTGCGTCGTCTCGCTCTTCAGCAACTACTAAACATCTACGCCAGAATGGGCCATCATGTCGACGGTGTCAAGTTTGCCGGCGGATCGTTCTCCCTTTTCCCAGAGGACAAGCTCCGCGAACTTATCGACCTAGCACACAAGCACGACGTATATGTATCTACGGTAAGTTACCGGGTGTGAGGAGGGGGGGGGGGGTTGGCGGTAGAAGACGAAGAAGAAGACGACATGAGAGGGTGAGGAGAAGACGGGAACGAGCTGACAGCACGCAACAGGGAGGGTGGATGGAGCACGTCCTGACACAGTCGAGCCCCGTCGCAGCAGTAGACAGGTACCTGGCCAAGTGTAAGGACCTGGGATTCGACGTGATTGAGATCTCGACCGGATTCCTCTCCCTTCCGCAGGACGACTGGGTGCGGTTGGTGGAGCGGACACAGGCGGCCGGGCTCAAGCCCAAGCCCGAGTGCGGGATCCAGTTCGGAGCCGGCGGCGACACGGACGCGGCGGCCCTGTCGTCCATGGGCGGCACGTCAGACCCGAGCCGCATCATCGACATGGGCCGGCACTTCGTCGACATGGGCGTCGAGCGCATCATGATCGAGAGCGAGGGCATCACCGAGAACGTGACGTCGTGGCGCACAGACGTCATCCAGAAGATCCTGCGCGAGCTTCCCCTCGACAAGGTCATGTTCGAGGCCGCCGACCCCCAGGTCTTCAACTGGTACATCCGAGAGTTCGGCACCGACATCAACGTATTCGTCGACCACTCGCAGATCGTCCAGCTAAGCTGCCTGCGTGAGGGAATCTGGGGCATGGCCGACACGTTTGGCAAGGTCACCTCTTTCAGGTAAACCTCTCCCTTCTCTCCGGGTCTCTGTACGGTTTCGTCTCCTTGTATCTCTCTGTATGTTAGCTGTCCATGAAGCACCCAATGAGATGATGGTCGCAATGGTCAGATGGCAATACACTTGCGTGTATGCATTCCCCCTTACTTTGCACGTGTACTAGTCTGTTGATGAAAAGCCACAAGTTGCACATGTCAATATTGCGACATGGCACCTCTCGTCTTCTTCTCTCAAAACGATACGGCAAGGCTTGGTCATATATCCCCTGCTAGTTGGGTGGTGCAAACTCTGTATCCTGTCGAATCAATACTCCCTCCCCCGCCCCCGGCCATCAATATCTCATCATCTTGACTGCAAGGGCGGCGCCACGAAGACGGGGCTCAGTCAATCAAGCTAGTTTTAGACTCGCCATGGAAATCGTATAATAAAAGGCCTAGCGCGTCGTTCAACTGTGTCTCTTTGACGTAGAGCAGAGGAATCTGTGGAATTCCCTGCATTCTTTCAAGCATCCGTCCTTCTTGGTCCTCCCACCTTGTTCTCTATCAGCACCTCGCATTTCCGTCTCATCATGGCTCCAGGACAAGCGTTCAACGTAATTGTTTTCTTTTTCTTCTCCCGGCCTTCTCTCGCTTATCATATTCCCTCTCTTCTCTCTTTCCAATGTTTACCTTCATGGCTGACATCTATCAGCTGGCCGAGGTCCCAGGGTCGCTGCTCCCCCGAGACAAGGCTCAGTGGGCAGAGCTGTCCGAGAATGGCATGTGGGGTATCCCGACCGTCTTTGCCATCATCATCATCCTCTTCTCCGTCATATTCGGCTTCGCAGGCCTCCTCTTCATCACCGGTCTCTGGGTCGACAAGCTTAGCCCATGGCTGGAGGACCGCCGTCGTAGGCGGTCCGAGGCGCCGCAGCAGCAGGAGAACGAACCGAAGCCGCAACCGACACGTTAAGAGGCCCAGAGGCCCAGGTTCGGGGAGAGCAGTATTGCCTACCACCTCAAGGGTGATGAGGGAAGGGAGCACACGGGTAGCAAGGATAGAGAATGAGAAGGAAAGGAAATGGGGCAGCTTGAGAGAGGCAGCAAACGGCATACATGGCATGATATCTAATGCCAGGGATAATGAGAGGAAGGAAAAAGAAAAGCCGGGGATGCAAACAGAGGGCAGAGAGAGGGCAGAGGGCAGAGGACATGTAAAAGTACGATGGGAGATACACGTCGACGGCTGCCACGAAAAGTTTTGTATCTTGAACGGTGTAATACATGTTTTGTTTTCTCCTTCTTTATTTTCTTTACTTTTTTCCAAACCAAGAAAAAAAAGAGAATCACTCATCTAAAGTCTTTCCTAGTTCTTTTGTTTCCATTCTTCAATATCACTCTTATACATGGCATGTCCCACACGGGAGCATCCGAGAAGAAGCACGTGACATTCCATAAGAGATCACATGACCCAATCCCATTCCTCGAATTTCCGTCCCTCGCGCAAAGAGATGATAGTATAGCTTCAATCCGTCTCCCCAAAGACCAAACTGCTTCCTTCCAAATCCAGCCTCGCCACGTTCCTCCCAACCCCTGATCAGATATGACAGGCCAACACAAACCCATGCGGCTCCCGCCCCTTCAGAACCTTCGCGTCCACAATCCCAAGCGCAAGGTCGAGAACCCTTGTCTGGCCGTCATGTCTAGTGTTCTAGGTATGTCCCATCGCATCCCATCTCATCATCCGTAGTGGTATCATCATAGCAACAACGACGACGATGACGACGACGACGACAAGAACGACACAAAGAAAGATTCACGAGAAGAAGAAAAAAAGAGATAGAAAGAGGAGAAGGAGGAGAGAGGAGAGAGGTGACGATGGACAAGGTTCTGACATGAAAATAGCATGTTGGGCTTCGGCAGGATACAATGCGACGGGCTGCCTGGCTGTAGAGAATCAGCTGAGGCACTGCATGGACGGACCCAAGGCTCCCAAGCCGCCCTCCAACACGATAAACTACCACCTCGGACGTCTCCAGAAGTCGGTCACGGATACGCGACCTGGAGGTGGACGATGAGACCGACCACCGTCCTCCTCTTGATATCATCCTAGCAGAATGGAGATGAGAGATTTTGACAGTGGCTCCATGTATTCTAATCACGGCTCGATCTTTCTCTCTTATGTCCTGCGCCGCGTCGGGGGAGGAAGACGCAAAAGAGAAAGAGAGATCGCAACGTTGCTTTATGGAGTTTTTTTGGATGGAGGAAAAGCTACACATACAGCTTGTACGATATTCGAAGCGGCGATAACAGCATATATAATGTACACTTTGTTGGGAATTAAAACACCTGTTCTCCGGATATGATTTTACAATGATGAAAATCACTCACACACTCGATCCAAGAATAACTTTAACAAATAGATAAGTGGACGAAGCAGCTATGTGTAGCAAGAAATTTCCAGAACCGACCTCTTTCTTTTCCTGCCTCGACAACAGCTGAGGCTCCTATACGGAGGTGAAGCCAAAAACAAGATAAAGCCTGAAGTCAACGGTCTGTGTCTATATGCAGTTACAAAACCAACAAGAAAAGGGTACGCTCCTTTTCTTTTCCTTTTCTCTTTTCCTTTTTTTTTTGCAAGATGCGTTTTTTTCTGTCAATCAGTAGCAAAAATCAACAGATGAATTGAGAAGAAGATAATCTCTCTTCCTTGCTAAGCACAACCAACTTATAAAATCAAGTCATGAGAATGATGCAGAGGGAGGGGAGGAAGGGGGGGGGGGGGGGGGGGGGGGTTGTTAAGGATCAGAGATGGCATGAAATATAAGAATAACGGTAATAACAACAAAAATGTATATAAGAATGATCCGCCCTCGAAAAAAATGAACGACACAGGGTAAATAAGAAGAAGATGGGTTGGAAAAAAGGTAAAGAGAAAAGACGGTGCGCCAGTATTGTACGTGAGTAGATGGATTTGGGGGGGGGGGGTTGGGGTTTAGGGGGGGTTTTTT